CAAGATTCTACTAATCTAATTCCCAAAGTAGAACATAAAAGTACAGTGATCTTAGACATTACTTTATGATCAGTATGCAAATTTTGTAATAAGATGGCATATATGCCTTTAATGTTTGAACACAGGACAATGTGAGAAGCCTTGGGAGGTTCCATTTTATCAAACACAGTGCAACATGCTCCTTCTCTATCCTCCTCAAAACAACCAGCTGAGCACCAGAATGCCTACTACTTATGAGCTTTGTTTGTGGAGGAGGCTTTATTTCTAGAAATGCCAAATATCAGAAAATAATGGCTAATAGCGTTTGCAATAACATAATAATAACTTCACTTATTTTGTTGAGAATTTTGAGGCAGCCAGAACACTTGCCTTTCCTACCATAATATCTAAAAATCCACCTGAATCCACACACTGTACCTCTCTCCCACCACCATGCACGAATTGATACTCAGGCAAGACCATCACTTCACAGGTTTTTTCCTTCTTCTTCTGATATTATCTCTTATCCCTCTGTCCTAAGATCATCACCATCAATGTGAAAGTTGCTTTAATATTTCCCATTTTAGAAACAAATAATTTTTAAAAAACTCTTTTCAACATCACATTCTTTTCCAGCTGGACTTTCATTTCTTATTAACTCCACTTTCATTCCTTCTTTGAGCATATTTGAGGTAAGGGTTAGTCTTTGTAATGTCACTGAAGCTTACCTCCATTTTACGGAATACATTTCCAAAGTCAAATTTTATATTGATGTTCTTATTTAAAACTCTGTCCTCTGAAACACCAGTGTGTTTGCTATTGCTTCATTCTTAAACATTACAGGACGATCGACTTGGTGTTCAGGTTTGCATAGTGCAGTGACCTGCACAGCCTTGAATTCAGGTGCCAGACAGAATGATGAGTAGATGAAGAAAAGACAAACAGACCCTCAAATAGAGAAAAGCTGGGGCCTGGTGGTTCTCCAACCCATGATGAGGGATGGACGACCCAGAGCCAGCTCAGCAACTTTATTACATAGGTCTTAACATCAAAAGGGTTATTGTGAGAAAGTTTCTTCAAAACAAGCATAACCAAGGTCTTAGATGTGAGCAGCTGAATTATGATTATCAGCTGGTGCCCATAACTTTCTACCCCCAGGCAGCTGGTATCTGAACTGACAACAGGATGGCTGGCACAGAATCTCCTACTGAACAGGGTGTCACCACAGCAACTGGGAAATCTTTAATCAGCAGCTGCACACTGAAGGTTCCCAGGAGAGGATCGCCTCTGTCATAGGACAGCTCAAGAACCATAATTCAGTCACTGCTCCTAACAGCTTAATAAGTGATCTCATTAAGATACCTCTTTAAATAATTCCTCTATGCTAATCATAAAATTAATAAAAATGAATACAATTAATAAATAAAAAGTAATCATAAAATTACTTTCCCATCCTTGAATGCTCTGCTTTGTACAAAATCATAAGCCCTTGTAATCAACTAACAGTAAGTAGCTATACACCTCCACATGGAAAAGAAAATGCATCTCCTGTGTCATGTATCCAAAAACAAATCCATAATACCATAAAATTATTTCAATATAAACCATGATTATTTTTATCTCAATAAACAGAAAGTTCATCTTTCCTGGTGCTTTCCTAAGAAGAAAGAAAGAAAGAGAGAAAGAAACAAAGAAAGAAACAAGTCAACCTTGACTCTTCTTCTTGCATACTACATAGCAAATCCATTACTTTATCTTAATACTTCCCATCTTAAAAACAACCAAAGAATGCTCAGCTTAGACTTTCAAATATGTCAACACACCAGTCATTTCTAACCTCTGACAATATGTCAACATTCTCACTGTTCTAAGATAGCATTTTTCTTCACTAGGTCATTTCAATAGCCTTCATATTTGCACTTTGTGTTAAACACAACAGCTTTTAACATTATTCAAATCACTGCGCTAGTCCAAATCTGTACCCCTCCCACATAAACCTTACTATATTTTCAGGTATCTTGGTCTTTCTCTTAATTTATTTTTTAACATCCTCCATCTGGTTCATCCCACCAGAAACAAACCTATCTCCTTTGGTTTAATACGAATATAATACCTCTCTCCCATAGGATACCCATTTGCTGTTTCTTTGGCTTGGTTAATCTTTTCAGATATCTTTGTGTTAGTCATTGAATCCTTCAAATCTCTCTTAAAATGCCAACATGGTCTAGGACCACTCTAAGCCTTCCTTACATAAAATAGAAACACTTCTCCTCAGTTCCTCGTCAACTCACTGTAGCTCTTTACTAACTTTTCTGGTTTTATTTCTCCCAAAGCCTATCTGAACACTTGACAGAGAAGCCTTCTGTTGACTACCTCATGAAGGCAAGAAGTTGTCTCTTGTACCCTGCTCTAGCCTCAGGACCTGGAAGAGAAACAAGCATGTGACGTGTACCCGGTCAATGTGTACTCAATTAATAGTTTAATGAGTGCATATTCAGCTATAAATAAATCTCATTTGCATGTGAAATGCTAAAAACATGAAAGACTTTGAAGACCTCAAAAGTTATTCTACTGTGCCAAAACAATTTGAAATTAAGAGTGAAGCATCCACACACCTGGAATTGAATCCATGCCTGGTTCTCAGCAGGGATTTAGTGGTCACTGCAGAGTGGCCATATGTTGTAAGATAAGGATGCAAGGAATCCAAGTCCTGGCAGGTGGAGATACGCCGAACATACGCTTCACTTCACAGCTTTGCCGTGGATTTGTTGAAGAAGTTTAATACAACATGTTACCACTGCAAAAACTCTCCCAAAATCCCTACTCAGAACTTCAGCTCAGATCAAGGCCAGGATAGCTCGTGACATGAAATTGGCCTTTTATACATGATGATGGTCTTTTTAAGTCCAAGATAAGTACATTATTAAAAAGAATTTTTATCCTGTTTTATCTGTACTTTGATCAGTAAAAGGATTTTTCTACTCTGATATTACTTTATCATTCCTTTTTTAACAAATTCCTATCTATTCCTATTTTAAATAAGCATAAAGCCTACTACCATTTTAAGATAAATGCTCTTTTATCTGCTATTTCCAGGGGTTTGCTTTAGGTATCCATCTAATTATAAAAGTTTTTGAAATTTTACATATTTTATAACATTTCATTCTGTGTGAGTTTTAATTTTTACAAGAAATATCTTGAGAGACGTGATACATAACATATTATGCAAAACCTCTCAAAAAACCTTCGATGATTTTTAGCATCAAAGGTCATTTATTCTTCTGAGAGCCTTGTGACCTTTAAGTTAATTTCCTATTTTATATATTTTTATGAATTACTCAGTAGTGTGGGTTATGTGTACAGAAAGCATACCACCTTACTTTAATTTTTTTTCAAATTGTTTTTGTAAATAATCAGGCAAATCTCTACTTCAGCAATCTATTTGTAATAAATATTTGTGTAGAATAGTAGATGAATAAAGTATATATATATATATATATATATATATATATATATATATATATATATAATGTTGAATGAAACAGTACTGCCACAGTTAACCTGTAGGGCAAATAAACCTTTCAAAAATATAACAGAAGAGTTAAGCTAGAGCACAAGTGTGTGTTAAGTAAATGTTAGAAAAGATAAGCGACCACAAAATACCTGGGTTATCCACACTGAGCATTCAATATTCATGCATGAATTACAGGGGTAATCACAACTATCACAAATCCTGTTCCACCCTGTTTTGGAATTGTCATATCCACAAGGGAAAATAACTACCAAAATACATCAGTTGAGTGTCTTCTGTTTGCCGGAGCATACACTATCCATATAGGCCTACACATATAGGCTATGTAGCTTTCTTCCTTAGTTGCTCGAAAATGTGCTTTATTAGGGAAATTATTTCCAGGCTTTATGAGAAAATCATCTGTTTCTTTGCTTTCTGGAAAATTTAAGCAAAAGTTTGATTCAATGGAGAGTCATTTTACACAAACACACAGAGACATAGCTCATCACAAATATATAGATATTTTTAGAAACATCAAAATACCGTTGTTATGTAGAAAAAAAATCTAGCCAGCATTGTTTTGTGTTCTTAAAACGTTATTAGTGGCAATGGCTGCAGGATGTGGATCCTCTGTGGTTTTATTATCATCATTAGGTCCTTGCTAAAGAAACCTGCATTGTTACCTTGGACTCAGGCAAGGCCAGGCAAGTAGAAGCCTGGGAGCAGGAGGAAGCCAGGGTATGGTCCTTTTCTCCTTCATTTTTCTCTGCAAAAGAAATGGACCCTCTATTAGCAGTCATATTTCTCAGTAGATATCTCCTTGCTAGGCAGAGACTCCTGAAATCACCTCCGTTGGGCCCCTGGAACTCCATTCTCTGTCCATGATTATCCTATGTTAAGGGAGCAGTTGGATCCCTCTGGGGCTATTCTCTGGGCTTCATCTCTTCCCCTAATTTTGTTTCTCAGCTTTTTTCACTGCATGTGTAACCTAGTTTTTGTATTAGAATAATAATTTTTAATAAACAGTAGGTCCATTTCCATTTTAGTGGCTATGCCATCAACGATGAAGTGAATACTGACGTCAACAGGTGAACAGAGGGAACTGGCTTAGGAGATGAGCAGTGTGCATGACACAGATTCAATTCTCAATAAATATTTTCTCTTAGTGAAGTGTAAAAAATACAAGCACACTTCTTTCATATTGTCATTGATTTTAGAGCAAAATAATCAGTCATTAACAGACCAAGGCTGGATTTATGCAAGTTTATTCGGCAAATATTCATTAATCATTTACTCTATGCCAGAAATGGGTCTTTGTGCTGGAGTCAGTGATGAAAAGAAATTTCTAAAAAAGCTCACATTCTTTCTTCTAGGGGGAAAAATAAAAAACAGAAGTAAAGAAATAGAAAGAAATGCAGTGTGTGAGATGCTGATAAGTTCTAGAGAGAAATTTAAATCTAGGTTAAAAGTGACTGGGTAGGAGGTGGTTAAAGAGATTCTCTGTGAAAAGGAGTCCACTGAGCAGGTCCGGAGTGAAGTCAGGTCGAGGCTGCATAAGTACCAGAGCATGAGAATGTGCAGGCAGAAATGCCAATTTTAAGGTGAGTGAAGCTTGGCATTTTCAAGGAATATCAGGAATCTCTTGAGGACAGAATGAATGTAGTGAGAGCTAGGATAAGAGAAGTGATAGTCAGGGAATTAGGGGACCTGAGAAGGTTGGAGTTCACAAGTACTGGCAGGGTTTAGGCTTCTGAGAAGGGGATCAGTTAGAAAGCTGTGAGCAAGAGGATGGCATTCTTTGTTCTCTGTTTCAAGATCCTTCTGACCACTGAATGGAAACTGGACTTTAGGAAACAGGGTGACACCCAGAACAATCAGTTAAGAAACTATTCTGATTACCTAAGTGCCTTGACCTTGCCTAGATGTGGCTGCTAGTGAAAGTAACCTGGTATCTCTTAAGGGCAAGCATTCATGGATTCGACATGATGTTTGAAAGAAAGGAGTCACTACATGTAACACTCCTTGAGTCAAAATTGAGGAGTTAAATAATGAATGATAATTATATTCAGAGATGAAGGAGAAAGGGGTCGTAGCAACATTAAGTCATTAAAAATGAAGCCAAAAATGAACAAGATTAAAAAGTTATTATACAGTGAGCTGCTAAGATGGGACATTGTAATATCTATATTCACAGATTAAAAAATAATTATCCCACAAAACTCCCACCTTTCCTAGGAATTTTGTGTTCTTACCAGCTTTAATTTGGAATGCCTGGACTTCTAAATACAGAAAATTACATTTGTCAGCACTATTATTCCTACATTACTTTACTTCATGTGACGCTTATTATGCAACATTAATATGTATCATTTTTCATAAACTAGTTTATTTTTATCATCACTTATATTTTAAAACACTCAACAATTACTGATATATCTCCTGTTGTTTTCTTGGATTTAATATAGAAACAGAAAATTTTGTTGTCAACTTTGCTTTTTACTGGAATATCTATTGTTTTCCATCTTTTATTTAGAATTTTTAAAACTTTAGATTGTCTTTGTGACCCTGCTATCACTAAAACTTTTATTCAAAAGTATCAAGGTGTACAATACAACAGTTAATGAGCACATTTTAAAGTGTGATCATAAGTCTTAAGATACATTTTTGAAATTGTCACATTATCATCAATATAATATGGCAATATATCTTTAGTTATATAGACATGAATATTGATTGATATGAATGTCCCCCTGATTTTCTTACTTATGGAACCTTGATTTGATCGGGATTCTGAGTCTAGAAGCATGCTTCTTCTCATGTAGTCATGAAAATTTTTTCCTTAATCTTCCTTCTTTCATGCGTTAAGGTCTGATCACTTCTTATAATTGAATAGGTAGACATTCTGTAGAGGACAGAGGTTGATTCAGAATACGTATAAATGTTCATGACAGACTTCCTGTGTATCTATTTTGCTCTGAATGTTGTATTGAAGGTAAGAGTAAGTGGAAAACAGTGAGAATGATCAAATGAAAAGAAAAACATTTCTGAAAATAATGAATCAAGTGAAAATTATTTGTCAAAATTTGTCAAAGAGAAAAAAAGTAGATTTTAATATTAATCTGTTGTATACAAAAAATGTTACTTTCTATGAAAATAGGTTAAATCATTCAGAATATTTTCTATTCATGATAGTTATTGACTCATTATTACATTTCATGCTAAGTCAGAGATTCATGCTCCATCAAAAGAAGTAAAAGTTTCCCCTAACTTCTAGGAATATAATAAGTACAAAAAATACACAATAAAATATTTTCTGTATCTATTAAATCAGTTTAATATATATTTGGAATACTATCAATTTATATGAATCAGATTTCACAAAGGAGTTTTTGTTTGAAATGCTATCCTCTTACTGGAGATCAAATTAACCACATTAATTTAAATACCAATATTTGCCTATTTGCAGCCCTGTGCAGAGAATGGAAGTTAATGCAAATATTGTGGCATATACAGTCCAGGCTTAATTTCATTAATTCAAATACAGTTCAATGAGAAATTCAGACGGAAGCACTAGAGTCACATAACATAGTTCAGAAGAACTATATTTCTTTACCACGAATCTCTGTGTATTTCACTTTTACCATCTTGAAAAAATGAACCAGGTAAATTTTACATATACTCAACTCACATATCAGACATTCTAAGGATGATAAAAACAACTCACAACCAAAAAAGCCCAATTAGATTTTGTCATATAGGCAGATTCACGTGGCCTTTCAGAGTTTGGTAGGTAATTTTTTTTCCTAATCTCTTCTCTCAGTGGCTACACGGACGAGTTTTCTCCTCCACCTGGAGCCAGGGGAGGACGCTCAGGGCTGGAACCTGTGTATGGAAGATGCCCTCGGAGCTGGCAAAGACACTTCCCGGCTCACTAGTCAGGCTCCTGTGAACGCTCCTTTTATGAAAACCTTATTTCTGGGCCGTCTTTATAGAATTGCATGAATCTGCTCATTTTAGAGAGAATCTTCCACCTTCGAAATGTGATCACTCTGGCCTGCCTTGAGCAAGAATCCTGTTGGTAACAAGAAGCCCGCGTCCTGGATGTCTCCCCTTCACAACTTGCATCTATGGACCCTCTCACTCTGCCTGTTTATTCTTCTGCAGCAATGATTTATGTATTCAGGGTTCAGCCCAGTCTTCCTTCCCTATTATAATCACCTGGCATCTATCACAACAATCCTGAATAAATTTATCCTTAGCTTTTTAACAAGTGTCAGAATACTTTTTTCTTTAACAGAACTGAAAAAAAAAAAAAAACAACAACAACAATTCTTTAACTATTGAAGTAAAACAATTATATTTCCTGCAGATTTTTTTTTCTCAATTATAATTCATTTCAAGTTTCTAAAGTGTGTTTGCTTTGTGTACTTTTTAATTTTTTTTTGTAGAGCAACTTCCCATTTATTTGTTTGGAGATGTATTTTTAGTTGAGTAAAAAATTTTCCTTCTTAATGTGTGTAAAATTAAATAAGAATGGAATGTTGGAAATAGAACACATGAAATATAAAACTGTCAGAACTGGTTAACTTAATTTTGGCTCCAAGGACCACAATGTTAATGAGGTGACTTCTGAAACTCGACATAATGCTTTGTATTAAGAGCTAAAGTACTCATGAATTAATGCAGAGGGACAAGTGAAATATTGGCCTCATGGAGTTACGCCTATATTAACCAAATGAAATAAAATAACAAGGAAGTTTGTAAAGAACATGCTATTTATTACTTTCAAAGTTTCATTTAGAGTGTTAACACAATATCTTAGAGTGTTTATCATTCATCCATGTAGTCTGAGTAAAAAGAAACAGCTAACAATTTAATGAAATATTTTACTCCATAAAAATATTTTAAAACTCAAGTGACAAGTTTAAGTTTTTTAAATGTTTGAGTGTTTAAAATTTAAGCACATATAAAAATCTTAGAAAAGGACCATCATTACTAAAATATTCAAAATATGGTAAATTATGCATGATGATTTAATATATGCAAATTGACAAGTGAAATGAATAGTAAATTTGAATAGAGAAAATACGTACATAAATGAATGGTATTTCAGAATCTTAGCAAATTGATGACTGCATTATGTACTTGTCCCCAATGTAAATGAAATATTAATTAGAAAACATTTTTTATTAAAGGACCAGTAATAGGTATGATGGAAAATTGGTATAATTTTTAACCCTCATCTTTAAGAATTTTTCATCTTAATTTTTCATTTTACTTTTCCTCAGACTGCTATGCTTATAACTGGACTGTTCTATAAAAGGATGAATAATGGAACTTACTTAGCCATGGAGGAGTTGATGGTATGTATTCATCTACATTTAATCTTATTCACATACACTTACAAGTCATTGATGCTAATATTACTAGTGATAGTTTTTAAAGCAGAGATGTTTTCCATGTGACTTTTTGAGAAAAGAAAGTCACTTGATATATGTTAAAATAAATATATACATATGCTACATATTAAAAATAAAGATATCTATTTGCCATTTGAAAATGCTTTGTGATTTATAATACATTTGTAGTATTTGATTTGACCAATTGTAGGTGAGTCTATAATGATAGTGAACGGCAAGTTTGAGATTTTAAAATAATTTTTTAAATAAGAAAAAAATATCTAAAATACTATCCTTAAACTACAGATCAATATTATACCAGTTGAAATATTGAACTCTTTCTGATGGTGAGTGAATACTTGTTGCTTATCTAATAGCTTGTCCTTATTCCGTAGTGAAATGAGAACCATATAATTTTATTGATCACTTTGCTCTGCTCCATAGCTTTGGAAATATCATGGAGGACTTCAAACAGATTTGAGACAAAAATATTAAAATGTAGCTGAATGATTTATAGTTTCAGTTCCAGAGCTCTTCTCTGAGAGATATGGCGCCTAGGGAAATCACATTGTTTTCTGCTTCTCTCTCCTTAATACTGTTATATGGAAGTCCAGCTAAAATGTGTATAAAAACAGGTCACTCTCAGTGTGACCTAGCTGAAGCAATACATCTGCACTATGAAGAAAAATTGAACATTTCGTTGGCTTATTTACTTAACTATAAATGTCTTATTTAATTTAAAATTTATAATACATTTAACTATGGATTTTTATGTCCTCTCTTTTATTCAATACTCTGTGCTTAAACATTTTCTAGGCTACATTTATATATCACTATCAAAAGCATAATCTGCCACCTAACTGAACACAATACAAAAAAAAAAAAACTATCTTTCTTGAATGATAAACTCTGTTTGTACTCCTATCATTGAGAGTATCTAGAGTAATAAGCAGATATGAAAGGGCATTTGGTAGAGTACTTACTTTGTCTTGGGAAGATACACATATCAACCAATGTTTTTCTCTGTTGCGTACCATTCCAAATTTAAAAATCTATCCTTTGAAATTTTAATTGATTTGATGCTCATTGGTTTTACTCAGTTCCTTTAGTAATTGTAAAATCTTCCAGAGCATAATAAAGTAACAAATTAGGTTTAAATCTGTCATATTTAAGGTAATCATTATAAAGCCTAAGTCAGTTCTTGTTTTTATATAACTGTGTTCTAAATATCACATCTTTGCATGGTTTCACTGTTTTCTTATAACTTGACTTTTAAGAGATATGAAATGTTTTGGATCAGAGAAATCATATGCTTCAGATCAGTGGTAGACAGACTCCATGGCATTTACTAAGTAACAATGATGGTGGCAAAGTCTGGCAAACAGTGAGGATCATTTTCAAATATTTTAAGAATCCCACCTGAATATTTTCTTGTTATACATGGCAGCCATCAAAAAACCTAGAGTAAAGAAGATCTTAGTAAAATATGTTGAAATTATCAAATAAATTATTTGTCCATTTAAATATCATTATTTCACATAATTATTTAAAATATGTAGAACAGTCAAGTCAAGCATTGTATGTAAGGATATGAACAACCTTTTATTTTAGGCAAAAAAATTAAAATGCTAATTAACTGGTAGAGATGAACTTTTCAACCTGTGAAGCACAAACACCTGTCCTTACTGAATTTGAAAAGGTTATTCTAAGTCTGTAAAGAAGATATCTTTTACACAATAAATGGTAAAAAAAAATGTAATTTTAACCCTATCATTGCATCACAAGGTTGTAATGTTTTTGACAAGAAATAATTAAACATGCATCATATGACATTACAGAGGAGAGGATGAAGATTAAAAAATATTTTGTATCCAAAACCTTTGACATGAGGTATAATATTGAATCAATCTGAATATATACCTTATCTCTAGCTGTACCAGAATGTGTGCATGTATTTCAAGACATCATTAGATCTCTGAATCATGGAAACCAGGGAAAGCTATCCCAAGCTGCTTTATTGTCCTACAGATTAAGAATTTTAAAGTTTTCAAGATGTATTTACTATATCTCCAATAACTCCAAATCTTATAACCATATGATGATACTTGAACATTCCATGATAGGATTCACATAGAAATAAGCATTTGCTTCAGTAACATGCATATAAAAACATATTTTGAAGTTTAAATTATACATAGATTAAACAAAAATTTTTATATTCTTCACCTAACTACACATTTCTGAAGCCTGTAGAAATGTTTGAATGACTTTCTAAGAATACAAAAACCAATGCCATTTTCTTAAGATTCACAGGTGTAGAGTGCTCCCAAAGCAGAATCAATCTTATTAAACATTTTAAAGTTTGGCATAATTTTTAGAACTGGTTGTAATAAACAGAAGTATCATTAATTTAAACATAGTTGAAGAACAAGTGAAGGATATCTCAAGAGAGTAAGAATGAAAGGGAACATATTTACAGCATTGAAAAGTATATTATCACATGAATGAGATCCACAAAGCTGAATTGCTTCACACAGGATCATGTACCTGCATTATTTGGAAGGTGTTTCTACTCAGAAGCTCTTCACTTCTTGATTTTACCTGTTTGTCACGAAAATTAGCAAGACATTGTAAAATCTTATTTACTACCAATAGGCAGCACTACTTCAGAGAATCATGTAGTATTTAAAGACATAAGTCTTTCAGGTGAAGGTCTCTAAAATGTAGAACTCAATGTAAATTAATGTTTTTGAAAGCTATATCCAGATTAATCGGCAGCTATTGACAGTATTTCTCAACACTAAGGTTGAGAAGAAATTACAGAAATTGGAGAAATTGGAGCCATTGATACAAGTTTTATAGAAGCTCTGAACAAGACAAATTGAATAGTTAAGCATATTCTTAGATGATGATTAAAGCACCACCAAAAAAAGGTGGACATTTCTGCACAAACTAATTGGTATATGAATGGCATGAATCAAGAACATAACACACTAGATGCTAGAAAGAAAATTATGTAACAGTGGGAAATGGATGGAATTTTTCTTTGAATATAATGACTGATTTTAATTTAACCTCAGACACATTCACATTAACACTTTTTTAAAAAGTTGAAGGTTGAGTTGATAGAGCTCTCAAAATATCTCATGCTACCTTTCCAAGTACTGGAATCATTTCCATGTGTCATCTGACAATTATTTATATCCACTTAGTTTATCTGACATTGCAGTCCACCTTAAGAAGCCAATTTTAAGAAAATAAAGAAACACATTATTTTAAAAAATACTTTTTTTTTTTCAGTAAAAGATATGACTATGTTTGAAGTATGTTTCCATAGGGAAAGACAAACCTGCATTGAAACATAAGAGAACATTCAGCTCAGACATAGAGACTGAGGAGAGCAAAATAGATCAATTCTAAAGGAGAGTGTTTTCAGAGGAAGAAACAGAATGTGAGGGAAACAGAGAATGATATCAAGGGTAGGGTAAAAAGGCCGGAACGTCAGAGGAAAAGTGGGAAGCTTGCTAGAGAAAATTGGGAATTAAAGTGAACACAGAACTATTTGGAAAGGCATAGAGAAAACATGAAGGTGTAAACAGAAGCAGAGAGGAAGGAATTATGGAAATGATAATGGGAAATTCTATGGAAAACAATTATGCTACCAACTTGGCCTTCCATATTCTCTGGCATTCAATAGAGAATAGGAAACATGCATTCTCTAAGACACTTGAAAATTAGAGGAGAAGATACTCTTTTGTTCCATAGATGCAAAAACATTTTTTTTCCTGAATGCTAGTACAGCTGTTATCCAGCTGTAAAGACAAGAGAACCTCTCTCTCTTTCTTTTTCAAAATTTTTGAAAGAGTGTGCTATACTTTCATCATTTGTCTAATCAACTCATTTACTGTTAATTGTTTTCTGTTTATATTTTTCTCCAAAAGTGGCAGATGTTCATAACACAAAAATTTTCCAGATTAATTATTCTAGTTGTGATGTTAAATTTATGCGGAGATATAGAAAGTACTCCTGGGGCACACCTGGAGACGGAGGCCTGATGGGGGTCGGGTGCACTACATGACACTGTGGATCTGCAAATCCGGAGACTATATGGGAAACACATATTTGGAGAAATAGGTTAAGATTTTAAATTCTATGAGGGAAACAATGAACATCAAGTAAGGAAGAGAAAAGGATGTAGAAATGCTTCCTTCCCACAGTAGGTGAAGGGCGTTGTGGTTGTGAGGACCATACACTTTCATTCTCACCTGATTCCTGCAGTTGAGTAGAATAACAGGTAGGAGCTTTGCTGGTGTGCATTTCTCCTTCTGGGTCTGAGTTTTCATTTCAGCACACACCCATCATTTCATTTGCCATTCAGAGAAATGGATGATACGGGCTATTTTCTGCAGTTCTCTTTTGTTTTTTAGCATCATTCCAATTGTGTATCTAATTTTGATCTCTGCTTCCATGACTCTTTGCTTGATGTTGAGCTCTTAAATGTTTCTCAGTCATTCTTAAAATTTTAGCATCATGTTCTAAAAGAGACCTAAAGGAATATTCTACTATGTTGAGGGGCCAACATAAACAACTTCCTTGATTGTTAATCCATTTAGAAATGAAACAGCATTCTTCATTGTTAATAGCATCATATGATTATATCCTGATTTGTATAACTGAAAAATTCCAGAAAAATAACGGTAATATTTTTCTGAGAAAGATTATTTTTACAACCTCCCAAGAACCCATTAAACAATAGAAAGGAACTATCCCCAGTTTCTATTAGTGTTTTTAATATTAGATTTATTAAATATACCATACAACCTTATAACACTTAAGAGGAATAAATAAGTAAATATTTCAGCAATGTCTTTAAATATATTTCTATTTAACAATTTGAAACAACCAGGACCATGTTTAAACTACTGAACCAAAGGAAAAAATTTATTTTTAATAAAATATTAATTTGAATAATATTAATAAAATAGTATTTGGTTACCACAATTGTATAATATTTTAATGATGACTTTCAAAATGGCTTCACTTACTTATATTATAAATAACATATAAAGTTACTGCAAAACCACACCATTTTGTTTATTTTAACAATAAACTTGTTTTATATAATCTTATTCCATTATTATTTTAATAAGTATCCTTTCTATAATTTATTCATTACTATTTATGTTCTAATATAAATTTTATTTGCCTGTCTTAAATAAAAATCATGAATTGTAAAATAAAACTTAATATGTTTATAATTTAATAACATGGGGTAAAATTTTCTCATTTAAAAGCACATAACTTGAAACTTTCTTGATGTTGAACTACTGTGGATATATTTCGTCAGTTATTAAAATTTCCCTTTCAGGTTAATATCAAGTCAACAAAAATTTGAAGTACTCTTGACCCTTTTTCCAATGTGTAAATTAGTAATATAATGGCAATATTCAGACAAGCAAATGTAGACTAAATTCCTTTGATGAAAACGACATGAGGTAAGGCTTCCCTACTGAGAATCATCTTAGTTTGTGAAATAGTAATTTGGAAAGAATATATCTGCAAAGTATATGGGCAGAACGGAAATGTGGAAAGCATAATCTGCAACACCCTTATGCATCTTTAGTCATTTTATGTCTTTATTATTATAAAATTTGAAATACACATCTAACAGGTAAATGCCTTCAACAAATTTAAAAAAAAACTAATCATTTTATAGGTAGTATTCTGACTTTGAATTTGAGTTTGTGAAATTTAATTAGGGAAAAAGAGATAGCATCTATATAAACATAATACGATTTCAAATATAATGTTTTTCTTTGGAAATTTAAATGTTTTAAGAGAATGTATAGTAAAGACATAAATATTCATAAGCATTACATATCTATTCAACATGTTCAGGAATCATTTTCTGTAATTATCTGACTCTTTCCTGCCCTGTCATTTTCTTCACCTTTTTTCCTCTTTAGCATAAATTGAGCTGCTTTTAAAACATCAATGAATAATAAACATAGCATTTTCCAACAATGTCAAATGTGCTTTATTCCAAATATCGATTTCCAAGGAAGTCAATGCTTTCTGTATGCTGGAGATATTGGAACCAATAGAAAAAAAATTACAGAAAGTTATAATATTTTAAAAAATAATTATATTGTAAATTTAAGAAATTATTTGTTATATGATTGGTGTAAGTTCAAAGGTGTACTAAGAAAATATTTTTAATGAAATAAAATTTACCTATTAAATTTTCTTAAAAGCTGAGAGTTACAATTAAAATAAAGTTCCATCAACATATAAAAAAATTTAAAATATAGAGAATCATTTACAGAAAACAAAGATGATGTCAAAGGATTAGCTGATAGATTGCCAACAAAAGACTTATAAATTTAAAAAAAAAACCTGAATAATATTAGAGAATTCAGAAATGATGAAGATTTAACCATGAATCAAAAATGCAATTCATTCAGCAATCTGGAGGATATTATAATAATTAGATCATCTATATCTATAATTTATACATAAGGATATTTTGTTTAAATATTTTCTTTATTTTCATATTATACATCAATCATTTTACATATTTAGTTAGAAATTAACTTATAAATGGGTTAATTTAACAAAGCTAAAATGGTTTTAAACTTTGAGTTCCAAAAGACAAGCAACTTTGTTTTAAAATAATAAATGAATTTTTTATGTTTTAAAATTTTGAGCATAATTCAGATGAAAACTAGTTATAAAATTCGCAGGAGTAAATTGGGCATTTTTTCATATCTTGTTTCCTTTGCCCCACTAAAATAAGTTTCACTATCTTATAAACCAAATGAAAAAACATGTTATTTCAGGAAGTTATATTTTTATATTATGCATTTATTATGTCATTAGGATTCAAACATTAGTCTAAATTTGAATACTTCTTGAAATTCATTATATACAACTATATAAAATTGATTTATGTTGAATTACTAAGATGTATAAAAAATTTTGTTTTGTTTTTTACTCCTAAATGCTTATAATTCAAGTGGAAATATTTTTAATGTTTATGTTTACTTGCAACTTGAAGTAGACAAAAGTTAGAGAAATTTTCAGAGAAACTTCAAAAAAGTGAGTAATAGTGGATAATTGGTTTTCATTATTTGTAAATTTACCTACTTCCTAAAATTTATTTATAGCCCCCAAATCAAGTTGGCAGCACCTTTGGGCTCATTCACTGACATGGTCAGAGAAGTTACAAAGTGAATGTGCCTCATGCATATTCCCAGCTGAGATTGAACACAGCAATGTTCTGTCTTTTTTCAGTTTTCCTAATGTAAGAAAAAGCTCTTACCATATTCAGTGTGGTGCCATATTTTTTTTTATATTTTTGCTATATTTGTGACTGTGCCTTGAAAATGACCTCAAAGATAGGGTTGCAATGCTACTGTTCCTCAGTACAAAAAAAAAAAATGTGTGTGTGAGATGAACATGAATCATTAATTTTTAATGCCTCATGATTTCGATATTAATAGGTATGATTTCAGTGTTGATGTAACACTGGATTACAGACCAAAAAAAGGAATTTCACTCTTTTGTCTATAAGGTTGATTTGGACAGTGTTGAAGTAAAATCTACAGTGCAGGATGAAGTGATGGGAAAAATGGAAATGTGGCTAAATTTACAGACTACTGAGTTGTTGGCTGATTTAAAAAAAAAAAAAAAAAAAAAAAAAAACAAGTGCAGTGGATGGCATTGTTGTGAGGGTGAAAGCCACCGAGATTTATAATCCTGTTACTCAGGAAACATAAAACCCCTTTTTGACTAAGCTGGCAGGGTGACATGTTTAAAATGGCAAATCAGCACGAAGCATGTTAAACTTGCAGGTGAAGAATTATCTGCAGATCAAGATTTATTTTTGAAATACCTGGTAAGAATGTTATACAGTAAAAGGGGTATGTGGAAGAGCAGGTTTCCAATCTTGCTGATATTGGCTTGGTTTACAAGGACATTGGTATGTGAGTTTGTATAATACAAATGGCATTTCAGTTGTTGAAACATTGTTTCAAATTGAAGTAATGAAACTCAAGGCTTACAAGAACACAATCATGTGTTTCCTGTAGAAACAGGAGTGTATTATTCATTATTAACATTTGAAGTGATCTTAGAGACTATAATTGCAACAAAGACCTAACCTTTATTAGTAAATATTAAAATGATCCATATAATACAGAAGTAGATGAATATATATGAAAAAAAATGTACTCTATTTTTCCCTCCAAGTTAAGGGTGTATTAATTCTAAAGAACAATGGAAAAACACATATTATAAAATGAAGGATTTGAAATAAATTTATCTGTAAGAATATTAAAACAATGATAAGGGGTTAAACTCTGCATTTTCATGTTGATTGGAAAACAAAGGTTAAACATAAGAAAAAATGTCACGTGATATAAGGATAGACGATACATAGCTACACAGAAACATAGAGACATAAATGGGAAAATGCTAACCTAATGAATGTATTTAAGTCAAAATACGGTAAATATAGAATAGATGGCAATACCTTATACTGATAGATCTCATTTCCTAGAAACGTATCGTTTCAAACAAATATACTTAAGAGTAAATTCAATTTATATAAAACAAGGGCTAAAGAACATTATATTTCAAATATAAGTTTAAAAACATGATTACAGATTTCAAGATCTAAAAAATTTTTCAACATCTTTATGAGACTACAATACTAGACTTATACAACACTACATAATTCTGAAGGTTTTTTATAGTAAATGCACTGTTGATCAAGTTTCAATACACTAAACAATAGAAAGGAACTATTCCCAGTTTCCATTAGTGTTTTTAATAAATTAGAAAAAGTATACCATACATCCTTGCAAAACTTGGAAGGAAAAAATCAGTACGTATTTCAGCCATGCCTTGAAATAGATTTGTATTTAACAATTTGAAATAATCTGTAAACTGTATTATCAAAATAAATGAAACAGCAATTAAATATATACATGCACATATATGTGTGTGTATTTATATCTATCTATATCTATCTATCTATCTATCTATATATACATATATATATATATATATATATATATATATATATATACATTTGTCAATGTTCTTGGAATAAAAGCAAAACCTGCAAGAACAAGAATGAGACTAGACTTCCTTGCAATTGGGTCAGATCTGATTTAAAAGTTCATAAACACTTGGGCCCTAGTGTAGATGAGTATAAACACCTAGAGATTTTGAGAGCCCCGGAAAATGTTGTTCCTACTGCTGGAAGATCTTTATTATGGATCTCACTCTGGTACAGTTAAAACCCAAGCAGGAGTGGGAAATCAGAGAAAACCACCCTTCAGTGTTACAGGTCAGGATGGGGAAGGAGCTATGGAAACCAGTGAAATCATTATACGTCTTTGGGATTCTCGAGAAAGAAGAGAAAGACAGAAATAATTAATATTTGACATGATAAAGGCTGAGAACTTTCCTGAAATTATATTAGAGATCAAATCACAGATTCAAGAATTTCTCAAACATTAATAAAGTTAATATCAATAACATACATGCAGGCACACAACAAAAACAGAAAACCTTCAAGGCAACTACAGAAAAACAAAGTCAAACTACAAATAAAGGATAGTGAATGTAAGATTATGGCAGGTTTTGCCTCCCAAACAATTCCAGCGAGAACACAATGGATGGCCATGTTTCTTTTACTTTATTGGCTATCTAAAGCCATTTATTGCAATCTATCAAGAGACATGTAACTATGATAATTATACTTTGGTAAGTACAAAAATCTGAATGTTGGATATATTAAAAGTGCTGAAAACTCAATCTAGATTTTTATATGAGCCAAGTTTAAATTCTATTTCAAATAAGGGAGAAGGAGCTTTTATTCAAACAAAAACTGAGGACGTTGAAGCAGTGGAAGAGCACACACACACACACACACACACAAAAAAAAAAAAAAAACTATTGATGTCAAATTCCATGAAGGAAATATCTTTCAAAACTGAAGAGAAAATAGCATGTTTCTCTCGGAAAGAGAACATAAGACACTTTAATATCACCTATTAAACACTGTAAGAAATTTTAAAACTAGGCATTAAGAATATAATATTAGACAAAGCATAGGTCTACACAAATATATAAAGATCCTCAGAAATGAAAAACATAAAGGCAAATATAAAAATATACATTTTCTCTTTTAATCACACTTATTTGACTATTGAGCTGGTTAGGGGTTTTGTAGTAGCACATGCCTGGCATGTATGAGACCATGGGCTTGACCCCTAGCACCACAGACAATATAAACATGGAAATATGTTTGACTCTCTAAAGAAATAAAAGTAGCAATGTTTAGCAACCTTATAGCCTATGTAAAAATAAAAGATAATGTCACAAATACAGAAGTGGGATTTTGAGAATGTATTCTTAAAGGTTCCTTCTACTCTATATATTCTTTGAAGTTTGACTGTGTTTCCTAAAAGAAATATGTTGTAAACAATGGGGCAATCACACAAATAGGTAACTAAAAAGAGAAAAATAATACAGTAAATATAGAACTATAAAAATACTCAACATGCCAAAGAAAGGCAGCAAGAAACTAAAAATCAATAAATCAGAAAAATGTAATAAGTGGGGTCATTGCTGATAAAATCTAAATATATTTATAATAACAATATAGAAAAATGTTATAAACAAAGTCATTAAATGATGAAAATTGCTAAATTGGATATAAAATCAGCACACAGGTAACACAGGTATATTTTCCTGTGTACTGGAAACATCTAAGTGTAAAGACATAGATAAAAAGAAGGAAAGTAATATGCTATTAAAACATTAATCATAAAAGATTGTAGTGAAAGTATCTAATAAAGTGTAGTTCAGAAGAAGAAATATTATCAAGGGATAAAGGTCCATAAAAACAATATCATATAATGACAAAGGGGTCAACTCTCAAAATCTATCATTCCTAAAGGTGTGTGCCACACACGCATGCACAAATATACCCACAAAAATCTCAAACTATATGAAACAAAAATAGATAAATCCTCAATTGGATTAGGAAACTTCAACATTTTTCTCCATTATCAAAAGAACAAGTAAACAGAAAAAAATATATAGGGACGTAAAAATTGAGCAGTGTTATCCACCAATTCTTCACAATAGTCATTCACACAGCACTGTTCCAATGTCCACAAAATATTTTTTTTTTCATATGCTGTCATTGTTTAGATATGAGGTGTCCCCCAAAAGCTCTTGTGTGGGACAATGTAAGAAAGTTCAGAGGTGAAATGACTAGTGCACGAGAGCCTTAACCTGCTCAGTCTGTTAATCATTTGATAGAGAGTAACTAAGTGGTAAAGGAGGCAGGCAGGGTGTGGCTGGGGGAGGTGGGTCATCGGGGCCTGCATTTGGGTATGTTTTGGGAGCTGAGCTTAGGCTTTCTCTCTGCTTCCTGTTGCCATGTCCCCAGATGCCTTCCTGTAGTGCACACACCAGCTATGTTGTTCTACCTCACCTCAGGGACCAAGGACTGGAGTCGATCATCTATGGACTGAGACTTCTGAAACTTGAGCCCTCAAATACACTTGTCCTCTCTGTAATTATTCTTGTAAGGTCTTTTGGTCCCAGCTGCAAAAAGCTGACTAAAATGTATTCAATGACACACACAGTATACATCCTGTGACAAAAATTAAATAAACCTTTAATTCAGAAATACATGGAAAATTCCAAACATTCGAAAATAAAATCACACACTTTCCCATAGCCTCTGTGGAAAAATTAAGTCAATCAGAAATTAAAAAAAAAAAAAAAGAATGCTTTCTGTTTTATTTGTTCTTTTGCTTTTTTCCCCTCCCCCTTTCCTCCCCCTTTCCTCCCCCTTTCTTTGTCTGACTTGGCATAAGTGTGATACTTGCTTATAGAATGAGTTGGGAAGTATTATTCTCTCTTTAATTTCTGGAAAACTTGAATAAAAGAATTTTATTCCATTTTAAAATACATGATAGAACTCTAAACCAATTAAACTAGAAATTCTGGAGCATTTCCTTTGATAAGGTCTAAAGTGGTGGTTTTAACCCTGTGGGGAATACTGGCAAGCTCTGTAGATATTTTGAGTTGTCATTATGGGTATGTGTTATTGGCATCTGTCAGAGGCAGGGATGCAACTGAGCTTACTCAAAGGCACAGACAACCTCCCACAACAAGAAATTACTTGAATCAATCTATCAAAATTGAGAAGGGTACAGGATGGTTTATAGCTTTCATTTATGTATTCAATGTTCCAGGAATCTTGGGTTTTAGTAGTTCATAGACCTACATAGACAAAAGAGGTTCCTTTTGTCTAATTTATTAAAATCATATGGGAAGAAGTGCCCATAATAATTTCTAATTAAACCATTAATATATATGCAGTCTTATTGAAGATTTATCACTTTCTAAAAAAGAATTATCATCTGCTTCACTAATTTCTATTGTGTTTATTTACAATTGTAGGATTTCTTATGCAGTATTAATATTTCTCCTCTTTTTGCTATTTATTTGATAGAAGTTTAGATTTTCAGTTTGATTTCTTTCTTTTCTTTTATTTTTTTACATATAGAAACATGGAGCTAAACATTTCCCTCTAATTACATCTCTAGATGCAACTTGGAAATTTTGCTACATTCTATTTTATTTTTCAGTTCCACATATTTTTTTTAAATTCTCTTTGAGGCTTATTGTTTGACTGCTGGGTTACTCAGTAATGTATTATGTTAATTTCAATTACTTTATGGAGTATATTGTTAATTTTCTGACCTCAATTTCCAGTTAAGTGTATTATATATAAAGAATATGCATTTCATATTTTAAAAAATAATTTTTATTTTATGATGCAGTATTGATGCAGTTATTTCAGTTATTTAAAGAATGCCTTTCTCTATCCTTTGTTTCCTCCATAATTTTTTTTTCCTACTTTCTAGTTTGGACAAGATGGAGTGCTTCTCTTTATTTTTTATTGCACAGTGGCTGGTGGGCATTGTTTACAATACTCTTCTTCAAAACCTTTATATTTACAGTATAAACTGATAGGAAGTGAAAGGGTTTTATTTGTTTACTTATTTTTAGATTAAAGTTGCTCTGTGCCAAGAAGATGGTTCTGAAGGACCCCACTCTGGAGTTTCTTTCTGTAGCACCCAAGAGGCCTCAGAATGCCCAACACCTGCTCACAATAGGGAAGAGAGGGCTCTCCATCAGGACTGTTATCCATATTGAGTTTTTTTTTTTTCCAGAACAAAGAACAGATATCAGGGCATGTAGCATCCAAACATGGGAAAAGAAATATATTTAAAAAAATGGCTACATTACCATTCTTAGAATGGTGGTTTGATGATAGATAATGGTAACAGGTCATTGAAACATTGGGTTCTAGATACATACAGGCATGTCTGGCCTTCACAAGTGTGTATTCACTCTCACCAAGAGGAAACCTGGAGAAGGGGCTTAGGAGACAGATCCCTTTGCTTTTCTACCGGACCTAGGGAAGAGAGGACATGTGTAGCCCCCCTCCAGTGCAGGATATGGAACCAGGGTCACTCAGAGGCATTTGGGCTGGCACGAATAGATTACACAGACACAGAAAATACCTTTTTGGGGGGTTCCCGTAGTCCGGCTGGGTTAAATAATCGAGAGGTGACAAGCAACTTGAAGGCTGAATTGGGAACTACTTTATTGCTAGTGAACTCAGCAGGAACTGAGCGAGAACTCAAAGTAGCGGGCACCCGAGATAGCAGGAGCCGCTTCTCTGCTGGACAGCAGAAGTATATATACTTAACTAATTACACATATCTTAACTCAATTAACATAAACTAGATACAGCAGTCAACCAATAAGGAATCCTCATCATCTTAATAGCTCCCTGGCATTGCTTCACAGACCACTCCTCCTGGCAATGTGCCAGGCGCCATCTTGACTTGATTTCAGCCCTCAACAGGGGGTGATTTCAGGATGGCTTTTCTGCTTCAGATGTAACCTCCTACAAGGAGGGGTAAGAGAAACACACAGGAGGCAGGCGAGGAGGGGGCACATCCTGAAGCCTATTTATTGAGGGGAGTCATTTGATAGAACATTCCATCCAAAAACGTTAAGGGGCAATATTACAACAAACAAATGGACATAACTCAGCCCCATCAGGTGACACCCAATCCCAGAGCTGCACCTCTCTAGCCAAGCAGAGGTAAATCCACATGCATCGTAGCAGGTGCAATGCCAGTTCAGTATCTCCTTACTCAAGACTTAAAGATGTGCTTAGCTCCTGTTAAGGGCAGCCTCTGACAGGCTTGGGCAGGGTTGAGGTCTCAGAACTAATTCTGTAACTGTGGCTTATAAAAGAAAGCATTCTCCCCAGTACAGAGCTAGAATTCCTACTGGGCTGATAGGATAATGACATTACCACACCTGATAAAATTGTGGCTGCTGGTGAATTCAACTGTTTTTCTAGTATGTGTGATGACTACTACTTCTGTATCTATTTATGCCTACTCTGTATCAACCAGATGAAGTGAGGAAGAGGAACTCAGTAGAACAGTACAGTGCATGCAATCTGGATCAGCACTATTCCCCTAGCACAACATATTTTCCAAAAGTTGAAAGACCTCTGAAAATCAATGACAAATATAGAGAAAAAGAAATATTACCAGATGCTTAGAATATTGAATAAATTGGTTTTGCAAGGAAGAAAACCCAAATGGCAATGGGCCTTCAAAATAAGTTCGGTACAAACAATCGATATTGATTCCTGCTACAATTAGACCAGGTGCCCCAGAAGACCATGTCAGGATGATCCATGCTCTTGGAACCTGACTTCAAATGGAAGTCTGCAAATGTACATCACTGTGAGGCGTTTTGGTCATGTGAGGTAAGGATTATCAGAATGAGTTTTAATAAACAAGTGGGATGCCAATAATGTGTCCATTTATTTTGCCATTTGCTTTTCATTGTGCACCTGATACAAAGGATACCATTAAGGGCACAATTTTTTTGGGAATTGATTGCAACCAGACTGTTGGACTATAAAGAATGCAGGCCTCACCTACCTTATTTCTATGCATCTAAAGATTCTGATATTCAAATATTTGGAGAACTCTGCAAAGTAGATGAAATGTAGCAGCAACATGTCCAATGCTAGCGAGTACTGTGAACAAAAACAGCTGTTTTGTGAAAAGAAAACCATTGGACATATTAGAAATAGGAAATGGATTTCTGGTGGAAATAAAGTTTTAGGCATCACATATTGGTTCAGATTATACCTGGAGAAGAGCCCCATCATGAGGCAAAAGGAGTGCAGAGAATCAATCTACATTACAACTCAGTATAACCAAAATTTATCTAGCTGTAGTGTGGACAACCCAAACACGTTGGGTATAAAACATGAGTCCTGGCTCCAGCGAAGCCCTTGTGCACAATGGGAAGCACAGTCATGGTAATAAAACAAGGTCTGTCAAGGCAGAAAAGGGCTTTTATAGTGTGTAACGACATTCAGAGGCATAAGAGTCGGCAACAAGAATACATAGGTAAAGGGGAATTCTCTTCTGTGAGAGAAGGGTGGGAATTCTGTCTAAAGTCTTTGTCTTATGAGTTTCTCCTACTACACTTCAATTTGTTTGGACTTGGAGATTTGTCTCTGATCCTTCACTCTTCAGGATCCCAAAGAATATGACTTGAACTTTCCTAGGACCAATAAATATTCTTAAGGTTTAATTCCCTGATTAAAAAAAAAATATTTCTTAATGATTGTCTCCTTAAGGAAATAATAATAGTTTTATATTTTATTGAACTTTAAAAAAAAATTAGTGAGAGAGTGTGTTGGGATTTCTAGCCTAGACTACTGCTGGGGATGGGGGGACAGGAGCAAAGATTACTATCAAAAATAGGAATTCATCCTCTGGCATTATAGATTTGGGATGCATTCAAAATACAATGGAGATGGGGAATTAGCTTTTAAACTTTAAGATTATTAGCATAAGGAGTCATGTAACTTAAATTTCTACCGGGATTTAAGTTAATTTCTTTCTGGGTTATAAATGAATATGGTATTATTCCTCAATATTAAATATGAAATAATATTGAATCCATTAAGCAAAGATCTGTCTTAATTGTATAGAATATTTTGTCTTGGACTACATACGGATCTAGTGTAGATCAATATACATATTAAATTATAGCACATTTTGTTCAAATTCTTTGCACTAATTTCATATGTTGTATTTTCTTTTCTAGCAAAACTGTTTATCTTGGAGTTCTCATTAAGAGAAGATTCAAAATGAAGGTAAAGAATTCTTATTAATCGTATGAATCTGGTATATCAAAATGTTAGTTCTACATTAATATTGAATTCATAATATGAATTATGAGGCTTTTTATAATTCTGTTTAGGGAAATTTACAACTTTCTTTAGATTTTTATGTTGCAATATTTTCAGAATATGAGCCAAAACAGAGTTGTAATAAATTTTCTCATTTTAAAGATTTTTCACATATAATGTGGATTTTGGATTATTATAAATCCAAACACATTTACAGTAGATTTCTACAAGACATAATTAAGGAAAAATCATGATTAATTGTACTCTCCTTATCAAGATAACCCAAATACAGTCATTGTTTATTTTAAAGATGATTATATTGCAACATACCCTTTTGTGAGATGGCACAGAATTTTCTATTATTTCATATCTCTCAAGTTCAATGGTTCATGCCTAAAAGATGTAAAAATAAAGGTTGTTCTATGGTATTATGTATTATCAAGTACACAGTATTTTTACTGAAAAAATGTGATTTCCTGTGACAATTTTTTTAAGTCTCTTCTATTTGTCCCCTATTATCAACAGGGGAAATTTTCTTTTCTTATTTCTCACTAATCATTTCTGACATGAAGTTGGCAAGCTGAGCTGTGAAGAGCCATCCACCGGGTCCAGGTCGACCTCCCCCCTCGGGAAGAAGGCACACATGGTGCCCAAGAATAAATGCCCTCCAACGGAGGGGAAGGACAGTGCTTAGTGTCATTTTCATATGGAATTTTTTTTCCCTCAGCATAATCTGCTTATCTCTTTGTGGTACAATTTAACTGTTGTGATATTATTTAACTGTTTAAAGTTGTCAAACACATGATTTAGCAGGTGTTTGACATGCCCTACATTTTGTTCTCCCTATCAAGAAAAATGAAATGTTTTGTATTATATTTGAACTCTTTTCCTTAGATTATATGTAGTACAAGTAGTTTCAGTTGAAAAAAATCCAATTTCTATTTAAATATTAATGAAAATAATCTTACCAAAGTAAGATAGCTGCAATATTAAAATCTGTGATGTGTGTGTGTGTGTGTGTGTGTGTGTGTGTTTTCTCACATTTTAATAGAAAGAAGAGAAATGGATGTTTAATCATTGGGAAGAAAAAAATCTAAATAATTCTTACTAATATACATATTAAATTTCTTGTGATACTGAAACAGAGTTAATATTCTAAATGTCAATGACTGATGTACAAATTTACTTCAAAGCCCACTCATTGCTCTGAATTTTTGTAATAACTATAATTGCATTAAAAAAATAAACAAGACACTGCAATATATACCTCTTCTAATATAAATGCAAGTGTTTGTTTTTCATTCACTCAAGAGTATTGAGTGTCCATGTCCCTTCCAAAATTCATGTTGAAACTTAATTTTTACTGGGCAGTGTTAAGAGGTGTGACTTTATATATAGTATGTCAATGAAGATAGAGTCCTCATGGGACTTTTGCTATAAAAATGGCTGGAAATGACTGACAAGATTTGACTGAAAGTGTTTAAATCAGTTTAATCCATGAAAATACTAAAAAGTAAATTCAGGTAAATTCCCTTTTGCCCCTCCTGTGATATATTATTGAAGCCACCATCTTTGAATCGAACTAGTCTGATCCTTATTAGTTACCAAACCTACCTTGATTTTGGACTTCCCAAGCTCCAGAACTGTTCTTTTTTTATTACCCAGTCTTAGGCATTTTGTTGGGGTAGCACTAAGGGACTAAGATTGCAGACTGACATGCTAGGTATGTTGCTAATTTTAGAATAAATAGCAATAACTGCACTCTTTTGATCTCATGGTCTACTGCAGTGATACAGCAGACATTTTCTTTTTTTCTTGTCTCTTTATAACGCTTTTTTAAAAATTATTAAATAATGAGAGAAACATAAAAATTTACAATCAGTCCTTCCCCTGACATAATTGTTTAGAAGTCTGTAGTATTATTTTGTTATATGTAAACTCTAAAGCTAATACAGGCTGTATGCTAATTAATCTGTTCATTTTAATTGAAAATAGGCCTTGCATACATAGCAGTAAACACACAAGATTAAAGGTTCTAAAACTGAAAAGAGTGAAAATGAAATACTCTATTTGAAACATCAGCATAGAGTTTACACTGAGGGTAATTTTTAGTCATTAGTATAAATGGGACAAAATAAAATAAATATTAATTGGTTAAAACAGAGGAACTTAGATGGAAAGATGAAGTGATAAAGAGCCCAGAGAAAATTGCTCAGTTTGCATATAAATTAGGTAATTAGCCCCTCACCTACCCAGGTAGAGGTTCATAACCCTAATTAAAATAATTATATAAACTTCCAGGACGTATTAGGAAGATGTGAGAAGGAAAATAAAACACAACGTTGGCCTCTGTGTCATTTTACCTGAATTTATTTTATAGTATTTTCATAGATTAAATTGATTTAAGCACTTTCAGAAACATTTTCCACTAAAAAAACGAAAACATTTGATAGTCGAAGACTGTAAGAGCTTTCCTTAAAAATAAAATAGATGAGAAACATTTTTTTCTATAAAAATGAGGATAAGTAAGATGATGAGAATTTGAGGAGAATTAATGATTATTTTCATTGTTTTCTTCAAAACAAATGTGGTTGGTGTACAGTGCTTTCATGGTTTAGTATTTTATGAGTATAAATATAATTATTTTCTTATTAACTAAATATTACTAAAAATATTGCAAAGTCTTAAAATTATGTGCTTAAGGAAGCCTCAAAATTAAAATCAATTTTTGATAGTTTATTGAATAAAGTAGTCAAGTAGTTGACACTAATCCATTTCATACACATTTATGTATAAAAAAATCATGCTCAGAAGATGAGTGTGATTTAAATAAGGAGACAGGTTCCTGACATCAAGGAGACTATATATTTGTGAGGTACATAAAACAGAACAAATGAACAAGGCAAACATGTAGGGTTTGTTTATAGATACTATAAATTTACTAATAGGGAAGAACTAAATAAATCAGAACATGAAAAAAAGGAAAGAAATGGACATATTAGTATATAATATATGCCCAACACTATTCAAGGTGCCTTAAACATTTTAATACTTAATTCTAATACCAAAATCTTCTGATTTATTATAGATAATATAACTGAGGATAATAAAAATCTGTCATCTTTAAATTTTGAAATCTTCATAAATTAACTGAGTACATGATATTTTGTGAAATAAAAAAGACAAATAATAAAATGCTTTATAAGAATTAGAAAACAAAGAACAAATTAGAAAATAACAAAATTATAATATGACTTTAACATAGGATTTAAAAATATAACAGAATGGAGGATAGAATCAAATAATGGCTTCCTAGTAAACGCAGGCTAAAATATTAGAATCACATTCAGAATAATGTAAGAAATAAGATATTGTAGTTTGTATAAGAAGTGAAAATAATTGAAAATTGACTTGACAGGAAAAGCATGACAAAGAAAATAACATCTCATTGGGAAAACTGAAACTTTGGTAAATTCCTGCCTGTGGACAATACAGTCTAACTTTCCATGGTGTCCTAAAACTTGGCCCTCCCTCATGGCATTAATTTTCTCCTGGCTCCTGCTGTCTTCTTAGGATGGTAGCATGGTCTGAATGCCCATAAGAAACACCAATCCTCCCACTCTGCCCACAGTTCAGATTCTGACAGAGATTTTCTTTTTATTTTGCTTGGATTATCTAGATGTTTGGTGGTGGTTTTTGTTGTTGTTTATTTTATTTTATTTTTTTAAAGAATCAGATTATATATTTTTTCTTTTGTATTTTTGTTTTCTATTTTTAGACTTCTGGTTTATCTCTGGATCTTACTTTCTTCTTCTTAGAATTTAATTTTCTTTTCTTTTTTGTTTGTAAGTTAGAAAATTTTTATCATTAACTTTAAACTACTTTCCTGTGTTTAACATAAATATCTAAAGCTATCAACTTCTTCCCAAGGAATCCTGAAGTGAACATGGTCATATTTTATCGAGACCAATTACTTTTTGGTTTATTTTTTGACTTATTATTTGACATGGAGATCATTTTGAAGTTTATTCTTTCCAAATATTTAGGGGTTTCCATAGAAACCTCCTGAACTTGGAATTTGTGTGTGTGTAAAAGGTTTTAAGTCATAGATTCAATTTACTTAAGAAAACAAGATAATTCATTTACTACTTATTTTTAGATAACTTTTTGGAATGTATTTTCTTTCAAGTCACATTCATTTTATCTAAATTTTAAAATATTTTGGCATAAACTTTAAAAAAGTGTTTTTATTATCTTTTATGATCTCTAGTACAAATACATTTAATCTTTTATTTCTTGTTTTAGTGTCTGTATATTTTCTCTTATATTTTACTGATAAGAATAATTATTATGGAGTCCATTGATATTTAATATTGTTCTGCTAATTTTAAATAAATTTGCTCTTAATATATTTGAGATGTCATATCAAAATACAATAAGTGTATATCTTATAAAGAACAGAAGTTTATTTCTACAGTTCTAAAGTCTGAGAAGTTTAAAATCAAGACAACAGCAGACTTGGTGTCTGGTGAGGGCATAGTGTCCCGTATATAAATGGTACCTCCCATGGTCTCCATGTGACACAGAGGGAAAACAGTTCTCCATGGCCTCTTTAGCAGAGGGACACAAATTGTCCTATTAAGAAGTCTTAGACTGCCATTCTCTTGACCTAACATCCCCCCCCAAAAAAAAAACCCCTCATTTTTTAATGCTATCACTGCGAAGATTTAGATTCCAACAGGAATTTTGAGGGGAAAACAAACATTCAGACCATAGCATGTAGCTTACTTTGATTTCAATTTGCTTTGGTTATTGATTGAATTATTTTTTCCTAATATAAAAGTTATTTCAAAGAGCATTGCTTCAGTTGTGTACATGAATTTCAAATAATTTGCATGCTCATTTTCATTCATTTCAAAGTAATTTCTGATTTTCCTTTTGATTTTTCACAACCTTACATTAGTTTTGGGTATACAGAACAGTTTTTAGAAAATTTTAAATAACATGAGTATTGTATATTTGAATTTTGTCTTGATAGAAAACATATCTTTTCATGACATAAATTCTTTTTAATTTATTGAAACTCATTTTATGGACCTGAATATGGCCTATCATGATCAACATCTGTACACTGTGTTTTTCAGTAGTTATGCAAATGTAAAATGGCTAAAATTGCTAGTATTATTCAACACTTGTTTTCCTACAAATTGTTTATTAGTTATATATTAAGGGATGTTAAAATTTCAAACTGTACTTCAGATAAAATATTTTATTTTTAAACTTAATCATTTTTGGTTTTATGTGTTTGAATTTCTCTTTCGGGACAAATATATAAGATTTCTACCTTAATTCTGTATGTCTCATCATCCCAGATGTGGAACACCTTTTCGAAGTTTAAACTGAGCAACAAATAAGCCACTGTGTTAAGTTTTGAAATAACCATGATTTTAGAGTTCTTCTGAGAAAATTTGTATGACAAATTAGAGCATTAGAAAACACACACACATATATATATTCCTATAGATTGTAAGCTATAAAATATGATTTTCAACCTATTTTAGTGTCAATTTCATTGAAATAGTCACAGAACTGAATTCATGAATGAATGCAGTAGCCCATTTATGACTAGTGAATAGGTTTTCTATTCCTGGCAAAAGTTTGTTTGCTTTTGAAATCTTCTTAGTTTAATATTAAGGTAGTCACTCTTATCTATTTCAATTATATTCATGTTTTTTGTACCTTTTTAAAAACTCACATTTATAACAGTTGAATATTATTCTGTTTTCTGTATCATTTCTAAGCTTTTTCTCACTGATTGGTTATTTCAGGTTCAAGTCACTTTTCTCCTTCTTCTTACTGTTGGAACTTTTTCAGTGGAAACTAGATACTGTTCATTCAATGTTTCCATTTGATAGATTTTGTTAAATTGATGGATTTGGTCGAATCCTATAATATTTTTGTGTTTTGTTCTTCGACACAAATTTCTGTAAATCAGTTACACATGTCCATAGACTGCTTAAAATTTTTTCTCATGGAAGATGCAGAAGAGCTAGGCTTAAGGCAAAGCTAGCTCTCCTGCAAAAACACTTCCCTGATGATTCTACTCAGTATCCCATGTAGTTCCCTGTCTTCTCTGGCTATTGGAAGTGCAAACAGATGCAGATGGGAATTGTTCTGACTACCCTTTGTTTT